GTATTCAAAAATTGATTTTGATACTCTCGGCAGGCAGAAGAAGGTTAAGAAAGAAAAAGATCCCAAGAAACTACTAGAAAAACTGGAAAAACAAAAAGAAAACATTGAAAAACTAAAAGAAAGTGGTAATGTAGAAAAAGCAATAGAAATCAAAGAAAAATCACAATGGAAGAATGCTTTAGCGAAAGCTGAAGGGCAAAAGGTTAAAGATGATCCCTATTTATTAGCTAAAAGTGTAAAGAAGCAAGAACAAAAGCAAAGATCTACAAAAAAGAAGTGGGAACAGAGACAACAAAAGGTAGAGAAAGCCAAGAAAGAAAAACAACAGAAGAGAACTGATAATATCATGAAGAGAAAGAAGGAAAAGAAAAATAAGAAACTGAAGAAGGCTGTTAAGAAGGGTAAAGTGATTCCAGGATTCTAAACAATGTTTACATTTTTGGAAAAAATTGTGTATATTATGTATTATCTGTTACATTTTACTTTGTTAAGACATTCACTTTAATTGATTGTAATAATAAATGTATGTTAAGTGATTTTATTATATATTATTAAAATTTTGAAATCTATAATCTTGAGACATGGGTATTTGAAAAATTGATTTTTTCAGATAATTGAACTGTTTTGATCTAGCAGTATATATTTATCCACAGGTGAATGAAAGCCATATTTACATACCTACATAATGTATTTATATCTTTAAGTAAATAGGATGAATTAAACAAAAAAGTGCAGTCTTTGCAACAAAACATATTCAAGGTACAATATTGACAAAAATTGAATTTTTTTAAGCTTTAACTACTAACACTTAACAAAATTTCAGTTTTTGTCTGGTGGAGCGAACAAGTGTACTTGTTTACGAGCGGCTAGGTCACATAGTTTTTTAACGACCTGTCTTTTTTATTCCAACATCTATGAGGTGGCCGGTTATCAAGAAGCAATAATGTTTTCTCCATTTTGCCAAGTTTTAATGGGCAAAAGTATTATTTAATAATCACCTAATCCTTCTATTCACTTATAAATATAATAGCGAGTACTTTTCTAAACTCTTCATGTTTATATAAAATCAACTTTCTTAAAATTTGAAATGTTTATATTATACAATGTGAAAAATGTTAACAATCACATCACTACCCTGGCAGAGAAATACTATCATTTGAATAATAATCACTACAGTGGCAAATAAATGCAAAATAATATATTATAATTAGTAGACACAATTTTTAGTATTTTCATGATATTATGCCTAAAAAAATAATTACTTGCAACACTGATAAAGAAAAGCAAAAAAATCATGCTGAGCAAAGTTTAAAAGAAAGATTACCGTAAAACAGGGTCAATAGAAATAGTTTTGAGGTTTTCAGGCTTTGTAGTTAGGTTGCTATTTATCTAATCGGCCACGAAAAATATGCAAAATGTGTCTCACAGCTAATAAGGAAATAGGAGGAAATAACAGGAAATTTAAGAATCTCCCTATACATTTCTTGGAAGCACGAAGTTATCAGATGGATGAATTTGACTAACAACTTGGTCAAAAGAGAAACAGCAGACATCTGGTTTCGTGGGAAATCCATAAATAAACTCTAATGATTGCTTAGTTTGGCGATGCCTCAAAAAAAGTTCCGTAAATGTCATCGTTTTCATCAATGGTTTTCAACACTTTTTCAATATAATGCTTTAATCTTTCGTTTTTTCTAAAACTGGTTGAAAACGCAACCAGCAGCCAATCTGATAGTTGAATAGATTCTTTCGAAACGGGATAAACCTGTTTAAAAATTCTACCTTTGTAGGAAACACTAGGAACAGAAACACTTGTCTATCTACGTTTTTGATTTTCAGTAATCTGGCTAAAGGAATATTCATCTCCTCATCATCTGATTCGACCTCCCTTCTGTTAACGACCTCTTCATTATCTGCGCATCTAAATCAAGCTGTTCTTCTCTAAAGTCTGCTCCAGTTACACTTTTACCAGCTACTACGGCAACTTTCTTTATCTTTCGTTGTTGTGTAGGAGTATCAGCATATTAACCACTACATTGCTAACATGTTCTTCTACTTCTTGAACATTTACAGTGTTGGTACTAGGGAGTCGGTAGGGAGTAACAGTAGATACCACATTTTCTAAAACCAGACTTAAAATTTTTTTCTTCGTTGGGTCTGATACTGTTCATTAGCTCTCTAACAAAATGAGGAAAGCGATCTTTGGGTATGGTAGCTGCCCTTCTTTCTTCACCCATTTTCCACTTTTCAAGAATTTTTCGCCATGCTTCTTTTAAAGGGCGAAAAAAAGCCACATCAAGGGGCTGGATCATATGTGTAGAATTTGACGGCAAAAAATGAATGAGATATCATGTTCTAAACACTCGGTTACAGTTTTGGGACTAAAATGGCTTGAGAGGTTGTCGCCGATTACAATATTTGTTCCTGGCAAGTCCTTGAGTGGTGGAATTGCTAGTTTGGTGACCCAATCACCGAAGCTTATAGCATTAAACCAGCTGTTAGAGCTACGATTGTACCTCGCACCTTTTACTGGGCACCTGGACCGCCAACTGTCCATGATTCGTACGTGTTTTGAGTATTATACACGATGTAACATGACGGACGTGCAACTTTTGGAAGAGTTGTGACGGCATCCTCGTTTTGTAATTATCCGATTCCTCCCGGGATCGTCTGATAAATTAGTCCCATCGAAGTTTACAATATTATATGGCGGTATACCTTCTGGTTCTGCACCATGTGATCAAAATACACATTTCTCGGGTGAAATCGTTGCTCGAGATCGTTTAATGTTTTGAAAAAACCGTGTTCGTAGTCGTGTCTTATGTCGCTTCAAAACCCATGTACAAAATCTTTTCCCGGTATAGTGTTGTTAAACTTAGGTACTTAGGTAAACATTTTTACCCCGAATATCTAGGTATGTTTTTACCATTATTCTGAGATCGTATTTATGTAAGGGATAGCTCCAATCAGCACAGGTGATCAATTGTTTCAGTATAACTTCCTCTTCCAACTTTGTTAGTGTAGTTTGTCCTCCAGGTGTTTTTAAGTTAGAGTTTTTGTGATGCCTATAGAGCACTGAATAGTTAATTCTATGTACTTTGCTTGCCTTCCTATAGGACATTCCATTTCTTATCGGCCCTTTCAAGAGCCTCACAATTGTTTTTTTTTTTATAAAACTTGGACCTTGGATTATGTACATATAGTCTCGTAGCATGGTTAATCTGAAAGCAAAATAAAAAATACTGGAGAAAAAAAAGAGCAAAATTAAAAATACTGGAGAAAAAATGAAAGCGGGTGAGTGAAAACACAAAACAGTGTGTGAAAAGAAACGGCGGGTGATTAGACTCTGCGGGTCAATAGAAACAGAATTGGGGTTAGGTTTTTACAAAACAACATTCAAATCAAATTACTGGTATGTTATGATTAATTTGCCAAATATTTATGTTAAGTGTACACCCTAATCTATATTAGGACTCATTATCTATTTGTTTAATTTTGATTTTTTTTTACCTTCTTACAAAAAGTTAATCAGCTCTTTGAAACATGGCAAAATCAGCTGTTGGACTGAAATTGCTGTTGTCCAGTGTTGCCATCTGTTAAAATGCAAAATCCACTAAATTGGTGTTCTTTATCATTTGGTGAGTTTATGTACCTCAATAGTTATTTCCCTGATTCCATTTAAACAACTTATGAATTTTTACGAAAAACACTGTCATTTAGTTTCTGTTAACCCCCTTTTCCACACCGTTTTACTGTAATATTTCAGAAAAAATGTCATGAAAAAATCTCCTTATTTCTTAAATTACCAAATGTGACCAATCTTCTCTTAAAACACATCACAACTTCAAATCGATGTTATTACTTTTTCATTAAAAAAAAAGACAAAAAATGCTTTCTAATTCTTTTAATATACCTAATCAATGACTAAAAACATAAAAAATGACTAGAACAATATCATTCACAGGAAACATACAAAAAAAACAAAACCATAAGTACAGTTTCTTAACTAAGTCCAATACTATTATGGTATAGCAGTCACGGAAATGGAGCTAAAACGCAAAAAGTCTCAAAAGCATTTCTTTAAGAAAACAGGCTTTTGTTCAAGAATACTGATGTTTACCAACCAATGGGCAGGAAAAGGGTATCAGTAAAGGATGTACATAGAGGCATTTTTCAGTTGCCTTGAAAGAAAAGCACTTTGGGCATTTTTATGAAGAGTTGTGACATTGCAGTCATTAACAAATATTTCATGTGTAGTAAGAACTTGTGTTTAAAAATTCTAAATTGTAAATACCTTTGTAAGGTATTTTTGTTTCACCCTACTCTCTAACCCTATAAAAAAATATACTTTTCTTCCAGATACTTAAGAAGCCTTATGTACATCCTCAACAGATCTAACATTAAAAGTGTCTATTAGACACAGTACAAGAATAAATGTATACAAAAGAGTAAATTATATATAAAAGGGTCAAAACTTATAAAAATAGTTATTTTTAACAGTTAAAAACGTCATCTACCCTAATGGACAGTAATTGAACATCCTGCAATATAATTTTTCTATAGAATTTTTAAAAAATATTATACTCATTAAAACTTACACAATTTAATTGAATGGGTATTTGACAATTTAAATCTGTGTTACTGTAAGTAGACATAGCACATATACTGCAAGTACTCCTTTTGAAGACAGAAGAGTTTTTTTGGGATTAGTAAAACTGCAGAATATTCCATTACTGTAAAATTACGCTGTCTATGTCTACAATAGTGTTAAATTCAGTGCAAATTATGTAGTGAAAAATGTTAAGAGTATTTTATACAACGATAAAAGTCAAAAATTAGATTAGAATGTGATTTTCAGCTTACTATAGATATATAGAAAGCTAAAATACTAGTAGTTTTCATTAACAGGTGTAAATATATAGCAGTATGTATAAATAATGGATTAAAACCTAAACAAAAACGACATTATCATGATCCTGTGTCTAATTTTTAACTTTTGTCAGCATTTTCGAATCCTTGACATTCTTAATCAATTGACTTATATAAAGAATCACTATCTTCTACTAAAAACCTTAAAATGCCTTAAAATTAGTTACATGACATCTTAGATGTGTAGAAATGTATTTAAAAGTAATAGGAAGCATCTGAGTCGTAGGAAGTACTACTGCTGAGAGGCAGTAGTCAACATTTGTATAATATAATATCAGATCACAAGTTTTTATCTGAGTTTTTATCCTTTTAATTACAACTGTTTCAAAATATATCAAATATTAAAACAAAAGACCATATGATTAGTGTGGTAACTTATCTCATTTCTTCTCATATATACATTTAATTATAAAAACCTTGCTTGTGATCTAATTGCAAGAAATAATATCAGTGTGTAGCTCGTTTGTTAAATTTTTAGAATAGTTTTGTACTTGAGGGACAACACCTTCTTCAACCAGTAAAAACAAGATATTGAAATCTGCTTTAAAGGTGATTTTACAATTTTTTAACCAATTCAAAAAGGTTTTGTCAAATTTTTGGTTTCATTGCTTTCAGATTGTATTGATGACTAGAATTGACAATAGCAATAGTTTATTAAATAAACTAATGTTGTTTGTGTATAAAATGAAAATAAACAAATTATTTAGCCCCTACATTGCTTTAACAATCAAATTCAGTCTACATGGGGAAGCAACTGTGGAAAAATCTACAAATTTCTTCTAACTATCTAATAAAACCTTTTACTAAACTCTCTCATAAAAATTATCAATAAATCACGAAAAAAAAACTTTTATGTTATCTTTGGTTCATATAACTGTATATATTTTTTAGGGTCACTCGTTGACCTTGGTAAAAGGTTCTATCATACTTTTAAATATTAGGAAATCAATTAGTCTAATTTTAGAGAAGCAGACTTTAAGTCCCCTTCTTGAGTATTCAGTTGCTTAGCTACCATGAAATGCTCAGTGGGAAAATCCAGTATCACTGTTACATGGAAAGCCATGTTTGCCAGTGCTATGATATACTCACATAATGCAAACATACTGAAAGCTGAAACAGAGGTAAAATATGAGTATGTAAAATACATAATAATGTAATTTACAACAAACCACTTATAAACCCTTATGGTCATTTTTTTTTTTTAGTGTAATGAAATATATTTTGTTAATAATTCCAAATTATTCCCAGTTATGGTATTCTTAATGTCTTTTGGTAGGAATATTAGCATTTTTTTTTATTAAAATAGATGTTGTCAATTGACAACATTGTGACTTAAATGAAGTTAAAATTCTTGTGCCATCAATTGACCACACAGTGACTGAAAGGGTTAATACATCCCTAAAGAAGCAAAGATACATACCCATTCTGTGACATAGCAACCTATGCTGGAGGAAGAACCCCACCAAGCCTACTGTCATCAAGATAGACACATTAAAGAGATTCTGCTTCAGACATAGACACTTATTAAAATGTTGGTTCTGTGTCACATCTCTTGTGTCTGCAACACCCTTCATTCCTTGTATACATGCTAGCATGTGTGTCAAGCTACTCACCATAAAGATTATGAATAGTTTTTCATGTATAGCTATAAAACAAACAAAAAAAAATGTTGTAGTCTCATTTTCATCTTAATTAATATTTTAAGGAGTTAGTATTCCCCAACCTCTTTTGAATATTAAATAAATCTATTAAAATAGTCTTCTCAAGTGTTCAAAAGATTGTCTTATACTACAAACTTGAGTTAATAATAGTGAAAATACAGTAAAATGGTAAATATTTATATAGTAAACATTTTTTAAATGTTTTTGTCAAATATAATTGAAAATAAGTTATGATTTCTAGTGAATTCGTTCATCAATATTTTGCAGGTTAAATATATGTTGAACGCACATAAGTATCACCAGAGCAAAAGTACTACCATTAATGTTAAACTTACCATAATTTTCTCTGTTGGAAATATATGTGACCCCACATAAAGATCCAGTTTCAATAACATTCAACCAAAACGCAACATTAAGCCAAAACTGGGCTTTTAGTTGAACCTAAAAAGCACAATACACATTATGCTAGAACAACAAACTGTGCATTATGTGGCTTACTTCTTTTTGAGCAAGAGGATTTATTAAAGTTAAATGATATGCCCGATACACAGCTGAAATTATTAGTCTTGGTCCTACGTGAAAGGCAATACTGATTCTCCAAATGTATCTCTGAGGACTGATTCCAGTGATAGCACTAATTGAGGGTACAATATTAAATACCTAAAAAAATTGGAGGTTACTTTAGATATCAAAAGTAACTTTCATTTGTTAATTACTTACCCTACAATGGGTTTCATGTATATCATCATATTGAAAGATGTAGGCAGTGATGAAACAAAATATTAGGGCTAAAAACGGAAAAGATACTGTTATGAGGCAAACTTGCTTGAAACTTAGACGATAATGTACATGATACCGTTCCTCTTTAGTCTGCTCTAGTAGAGAAAACATGTTCCTGTTTGTTGATGTTATCAAAGAATTATACTAAAGGACGCTATGACAGGCTACGAGAGACTCCAAGTTTAATGCATGGTAGGTTTTCCGAGCTACATTATGACAATAACGTATATGTACAGTTTAATTATTAAGTATTTAATAAAAAATTACAACCCCATCTCAACATTCAATAATTCTGACAGGTCTACCTTTCAACTTTCAGTTTATCTTCAGTTCATTTCTGTAACTCTGCATTCTGCTGAAGCTGAAGGATCTGGAACCTGAAATGAACACAGTTAGATATCAAAATCATCTTCTTTTCCATCAGTGGAAATTTTACACAAAACATATTTGAAATCTAACCATTATTGAACCAAGTTATTCTAATAATAATTTTTCTTATTGGTATGATGGGCCATTTATAAATAAATCACCAATCATATTTTATCATGTCTCTACTCATCATAATCAGTATTTTCCAGATTAAAAACCAAGAAACTTCGGAATTTCTAGTTTAATGCATTGTTTATCTATTTAAATTCGTTTATCTCAATTTATTGATAATTAAAACCACATTGTTTTTTTTTTACCTAGAAAATTCATTACCTTCTTGGCTTAATCGCACTGGTCAATGGAATTAAATCTCTTGTTTTCGTTTCTTAAAAGAAAACCAGTTTTATTGGTTTCGGCTTCGGGTTTTATGTCGATGACCTACTTAAAAAAAATACAATTAATTGCAGTATGTTATTGTTAAACCAGTTCCTCTACTTCCAGAGCCGTACCATATTATTTTTAAAGGGTAGAATGTGTAAGAATTTTGTAGAAAACATTTTTATACGCTATGTATTTCCAAACTAATTTGATTTTGTGAATGCTGTTGTGACTATAATTTTGAAAACTATATCTTCTTTCTCGGCTCTTGAATTTATATCTACCAATCAATTCTCGGCTCTTGAATTTTTTGAAAAATTATGTTTATACACGCCCGTGGATTTACTTATTAAAAAAATATTTTGGATGCATTTCGGCAGGTAGAAGTTTGGTAGGTACCTACTAATGAATGTGCAACAAGATTCTTTTTTTTATTTTGTTCTTAATAACAATTTCAAGTTATTGTGGTGCAGTATTATCCAAATTGTTAAATATTTCAGTCTTGTTTTTTGTTCGCAATGGAAAATTAGTAAAAATTAACTTGTTGACTTGGAAAATTAACTTAATTGTTGAATACGGTTATTTGTTTCTGTAAGAAAAAAATTTTATGTTAAAAAATAAGTTTTCATGATGAATTTGTTTGTTATTGTACCTACAGTTTTAGGTACCTTTTAAGAATATGTTGGGACTGTTTCTTGCTGGAATAGTCATATGTTTAATAATATATCGAGTGAAAAGATGTTACCGGTATTGGGATCAATATGGTGTAAAAACGGTCTCCACAATATATGTGTTGAAAGAACTGGTTAAAGTGTATTGCAGACAAAGGATAATGCCTGATATGTGTAAAAATGTTTATAACGCTATTTCAAACGCAAGGTATTTAAAATATGCCCACAAAACTTTATATTATGCTCAAAATGATAGTTGTTTCTTTAAATTGAATTCATTTTCACCTGTGGCTTTCGCTATGAATCGTTAATGTTCTCATAATTGTCCCATTGTATACATTTAAGTTGTTATGTGTTAATAATGTTACGTTTTTCTAAAAAGCTTGAATCCTTTATCCTACTCGTTTTAATCATAGCACCTTATATGCATGCTTTACAATATAAAATAAATTATATATTCCATTTAATATATTCTGTTTTTAGATACTTCGGGATCTATCAGTTCTCAAAGCCTGTTTTGATGTTAAAAGATCCAGATCTAATCACAGAGCTCACTGTAAAACATTTTGACCATTTCACGGACCATCAGTTTATGATTTCAGAGAAGTTTGAACCAATGTGGGGCAAGAGTTTGTTTATAATTAAAGGTATGTAGATGAAGCTACTAGAAAGGTAAATAAAGAAATACTTATAAAATTTTAACATTGAATAAATCTTGAATATTTTTCCTTATTTGGAACTGGTAACTTAATAGGGTCAGTTTCATTTTTTAAAGAAACTTACGTGGATAATAAATTTTAAACCTAAGAATTAAAGAATAAATACAAAGTTTAGTGAAAGAATCTTTTATTCATAATAAAGACAAAAAGTTGTCAATACATTAAGTACATATCGCACATTTACACACATCCAGGACATACAAACATATCCTTGTCGTCTTTTGTTAATCCCATACATTCCTCGTGGATTGTCGACGTTGTTTATCTAGATGTCTCTAAAGCCTTTAACCGTGTATCCAAGTGCAGACTTCTACATAAACTAGAACATTTCGGAGTTCGCGGTACTTTACTTCGTTGGATAGATGATTTCCTGACAGATCGACATTACAAAGTTAGAGTTGGCGAATCTTTCTCACAAGACAGGTTAGTGGAAATTGGAGTGCCTCTGGGCTCTGTCCTTGGACCTCTGCTTTTTACGGTTTATACCAGCGATGTTCCTTATTATGTTTCAAGTAAAATATCGCTCTATGCTGATGACACAAAAATATGTCAATCCAATCACAAACCAGCTAACCCTCCAAATGAACTTAAACTCTATTTTAACTCGGTGTTACCAGTGACTACTACCCTTAAATGAGGAAAAATTAGTGCTTTGAACTGGTGAAAATAATCCACTTGTGCCTTACTTTGTTAGCGGGCAAACATCCGATTTTCTGTTCTCGTATAACGTCCTTGGTGTTAGTGTTTTTCGAGAATTTGAATGTAGTCATTCTTTAAGCTTTAGGCTCTTGGCATTCTTTAAGCTCTTTACGTAAGACCTATTCTTAAATACGCTGGACCAGTGTAGTATCCTGATTTGTTTCGAGCCAAAACTTTGTTGTAAAACGTTCAAAGACAAGCTACTCGAATTTATTTGGGATAGAAAAGGCTTCCTATGTAGAAAGACTTAGTATGACTAAACTAACTTCGTTTGAACTTCGCCGACAACGTGAAAGCCTAATTTTTTTTGAACCTATTCTCTATCCTTCCATTGTTGGATATAGGTCTCCCCCAGTTCACTCCATCTTTCCCTATCTTGAGCTGTTCTCTGCCATGTGGGACCTGTTTGTTTCCTGATGTCATCTTTCCACCTAATCTGTGGTCTGCCTCTTGATCTCTTTGCATTGTATGGACGCCACTTTCCGATGGCATTGTTCCATTGTCCGTCTTGGAGACGTTCATGTGTCCAGCCCATTTTCATTTCAGTTTTGCTGCTTATCTATCGCGTCTACTGTCTTTGTTCTGGTTCTGATCCACTGGTTACGTTTTCTATCTCTAAGTGATACACCCAACATTTGTCTCTCCATCGCTCTTTGTGCCTTCCTTATCCTATCCAAATTGGCCTGTGTAAATGTCCATGTCTGTGCTCCGTAGGTAAGTACCGGTATTATACAGAAGTTATATACCTTGCTTCGTAAGTATAGAGGGATTGTTTGATCTTATAGAACGTAAGAAAGTTTTCCGAACGCTGCCCATCCCATTCTTACTCGTTTCGATATTTCGGCTGTTTGATTTTCTCTGTGAAAACCTAATTACCACATCTAAAATATTAAAATCCATTTTTGGATATCTCGATAAATGTTTACCATACATCAAGATGAACGCCTCAGAGGTTTTTGATTGCTGCTAAACCTTTATGATAATATTGTCTTTGCTCTCTCTACCAACGCGTTCAAAAACAGACTTGACCGTTTTATATTATATTTAAAATATTGTTTTTCTTTTAAACCAAAAATTATAATTTTGTTATTAACTAATGTAATATCTTTGTTTTTGGGCATATTAGGGATTTGTCCCTCTACCCTTGCTTATGTATAATAATAATATGTTTATTCTTCTACTATACGTTTAGTCTTAGTCCTAATAGTCGAGACTATCTATTTATATAGGTCATGATTATGACCTATATAAATAGATAGTCTTTAAAATACTTTTATTTTTATTTATGTTAATTAATTTTGTTTAGGGCAAAGATGGAGAACAATAAGGCACATCATCTCCCCTTCTTTCACCTCCAATAAACTAAAAATCATGTTCGGCCTTATCACAGATAGTGCGAAAAATTTCACGGATCACTTCTTACAGAAAAATGAGGACATCATCGAAGTAGAACTGAAGGACGTTTTCACAAGATTCACCAACGACGTCTTGACTTCTACATCATTCGGTCTCGCTGTTGATTCCTTTAAAAATCCGAACAATTTGTTCTTGGATATGGCTGAGAGGATGTTTAACTTTGCTAGTGGAATTGGAAAACTTATTAAATTTAATATCATGATACAATGGCCAGCTCTGTATGAGGTAAGTTAAAAAAAGCTATTAGTATGGTTATTTGTACGCCAGATTTTATATATCGCTTTCAATCGGACGGAGATCCTAATGTGGTAAAGCTCTTTACGCTTTATCACATTATATATACGCCAAACAAGAAACTTTAGCACGAAATCATATCAATAATAAGCTTTTCTCTAATCTGACTTTATAGTTTTTAGGCCTACCAGTATTTGATGTCGCTGTTAACGATTTCTTTGAAAAGCTTGTGGAAGATACCATCCAAATGCGTGAAGAGCGGGGAATAGTACGACCTGACATGATCCACTTGCTGATGGAAGCCAAGAAAGAATCTGTTAAAGAGAAAACTATTGATAATGGAAAATATGAAGATACAGGTATGCGAATGAACGGGTTTTTGGTGTCTCATTTCATATTATATCAACAAATGTCCATAGAATATTTTTTCCTTTTGTAGTTCCTATTTATAACTTCATTTCTTTGCTATATTATGAAATTTTCTTAGATATTTATAACGTTTAATACCGAAGTTTAAAGAGATTTTGAAATTATTTTTGTTTTTAAATTAAAATACGGAAATCCTTCTAAAACAAACGATAAAGGAATGATGTTTACCTGTAATCAAAATTCCTTGCTGTAATGTTTATAAATTCACTACTTGGCCTCGAATTTGTTAGCAAATAATCATGTTTTGAGTTGAAATTCTGGGGTGATTGTTCTGGGTACCCTCTTCTTCTTCTTCTTAGAGTGCCATCTTCCTACAGAGGTTGGCAATCATAATGGCTATTTTTATTTTTGAACTTGCTGCTCTACAACAAATCAATCGATCTGCATTGATACCAATCACGTAGATTCTTCAACTATGAGTTCTGCCTTCGGCCAACAGACCTGCTTCCTTGAATCTTGCTCTGTATTATGAGAATCAAAATTTCATATGTTGGTCCTCTCATCACGTGGCCTAGGTACTCCAGTTTTCTGGTTTGTATAGTGGTGATTACTTCTGTTTCTTTACCAATCCTCTCCAGTACTTCTTTATTTGTAATTCTATCAGTCCATGATATTTTTAATACTCCTGCGGTATAACCAGAGTTCAAAAGCCTCAATATTTTTTAAATTACATTTTATTAATGTCCAAATCTCAGCTCCATATAATATTATTGAAAATATATAACAGCGAATGGTACGCAGTCTGATCTCCAAATTTAGATTTTTACACGTTAGGAGTGGCTTCATTCGTATAAATGCTGATCTGGCAATCTCTATTCACCTCTGTTTATTTCTGCAGTATGATCATCGGTTTCATTGATCAAAGTTTCCAAGTACTGATATTCTTCTACTTGTTTTATTGCGTTTACATTGATTGTCAATAGGTGATGTATATTTTGCGGTCTTTTTGTAATCAGCATCTATCTATTTCGTTTTTTTAGCATTTATACCCATCTCTCCATACATAAGAAAGGAAACAGGAAAAAATGTGAAAACTACAGAGGAATTAGTATAATATCGTCGGTAGGTAGACTTTACTGGAAAATTATCAAGGAGAAACTAAAAACTAAAATAATAGGAAAAATTGGAGAAGACCAAGGGTTCACAGTAATAAAATCATGCCTAGATCATACGTACACATTAGAACAACTGATAGAGAAGAAAATGGCAAACGGTAGAGCTGTCCATCTGGCGTTTGTTGATCTAAAGAAAGCATACGACTCAATACCTAGAGTCAAATTATGGGAAGCAATGAATGATCTCGGAATCCGACAAACACTAATAAAAGCAGTTAAAGCACTGTACAAAGAAAACAAAGTAGCTATTAAATGTAGAAATAAAGCTTATAATCCATTTAAGACTACAAAAGGACTTCTACAAGGCTGTGCTACGTCCCCTACTGTGTTTAAAATATTCTTGGAAAAGACACTCAAACCATGGAGGAGAAAGTGCGAAGGAATGGGCATACTAATAAGAGACGAATACCTATACACCTTAAGTTTTGCCGACGATCAAGTAGTCATCGCACAAGATGAAGAAGATCTCAGCTTTATGCTCAGAAAACTAGAAGAATATAAAAACAACGAAATGGAAATAAACTTAGAGAAAACCGAATACCTAACAACAGAAAACAAGGATATGAGAAACCTAGAGATAGACGAGGGAAGACAAGTAAAAGGAACAGATAAATTCAAGTATTTAGGAACCATAATATCGAACCAGGGAACAACAGAAGAAGATATAAACAATAGACTAAGACAAACAAGAAACTGTATAAGACAACTAAATTCAGTGCTGTGGGATAAGAACATTACGATAAAGACTAAAAAGAGAATATATAATACCCTGACATATGGGTCCGAAAACTGGACAATAAACAAGAGAAATAGAGGTAGAATAAGAGCAGTAGAAATGGAGTTCCTGAGGAGAAGCTGTAACAGAAAGAGACAGAATTGAAAACGCAGAGATTAAGCGGAGAATGGGAGTGCAATCAGACATAATCGACTATATAGAGGAGAAGAGACTATCCTGGTATGGCCACGTCAGAGGTGCGGACAGAGGACGCTGGATAAACAAAATCACAGAATGGAGCCCGATCGGAAGAAGAAAGAGAGGAAGATTCCGAAGGTCATTCAGAGACGAAATCGACGAGGCTATGGAGAAAAGAACCCTGCGACATGGAGACTGGAATGACGGAAAATTGGAGAAAACGGTTGAGTGAAGGAAGACAGTGAAAACTGTGGAAATCCTTAGTAGTAGTACCCATCTTAGCACCATTCACACTTAAGCTTTCGATAAGATGTTGCAGATCTTCTATACCCTTGCTATGATCACAGTGTCGTCTGCATATCGTAAGTTGTTAATTAATTTTCCGTTAACGGTAACTCCCACTTTGATATTATTGAGCGTGCTTTGGAGAATTTCTTCAGAATATAAGTTCAACAAAAGTGGCGATGAAACACATCCCTGTCTAACTCCTCTACAGATCTGAGCGTTGCCCATCAATTTGAACTATGGCACTTTGGTTCCAATTGCACTACATTTATGATTTTACTGTCAATGCGCTTGTTCATAAGTATTGATATTAGTTTTTCATGTCTTACTTTATCGAAAGATTTTTCGTAGTCAACAAAACACAAGTGTAGATGAACGTTTACATCCCGACATCACTGAATCAATATGTTGGTGGCAAATAGTCCTTCTCCCATTCCATTTCGGAACCCGAACTGCGTCTCGCTAATATCCTTGTCTAGCCTTTCGCATATTCTCTCATGTATTACTTTCAGCAGTACTTTTAAAGTATAACTCATGAGGCTCAGTGTTCGATAATCAGAGATGGGTACCCTCGGATTGATTCAACTTCTGATCTTTATGTGTTTATATGTAGTTAATAACAAATGATGTGTCTCATCTTCTATTAACTTTCTATACGACTTCTTTCAGTAGGTATTGTTAACCAGAGCGTGTTACATTCTTCTGTTAATGAGTTTGCTGTACATTTTGTTGCTTTAGTAAGATAAGGTCTGTTTCTTTGATGATGAATATGAATCATAGGTAAAAAACAAATACTTCGACAGATCCTAACTATGTAGACTTACCTGGGACAATGAGCTTAGAATACAATGGAAAGATAAATCAATACTCATGAAAGAACTAGACAGCAAAAAGAGAATTAATTCATAAACTTTGAATACAGAGGTTTCAAAACAACACAATAAGAATAATTTTTGATGCTCCGTAAGTCGGACATAGTATGGTGGTCAAACTAGATACAGAATCATCAAAAGAAGTGATAAGTGAAGTTGCGCATGATAAAATTGTGTATAGTTGAGCTAATTCTACCATCTCAGCGATAGCTTCAATATAAACCAGATGGCGTATAAGTCATATTTTGTGATCAACCGCGTTGATCGTCAATCACAGATTACGTTTAAACGTGTTTGCCTTTTTTATTGTTAACTTGGTCAGGAGTGGAGTAAAGGGATGCCTACCGTATATTTACTTTATTAAATTGTCCCTTTTTTCTTTTAGATACCAAAAATCTCCAACTAACGAATAAAGATATCGCAGCTCAAGCTTTCTTCTTCTATCTGGCAGGATTCGACGCTGTAGCTACTGTTTTATGTTTTTTCTGCTACGAAATTGTTGTAAATCAAGAAATACAAGATAGACTGAGGGCAGAAGTGGAGGAAAGCTTCGACAATTGTGGGGGAGCAGTCACATATGACACAATCAATGAGTTAAAATACTTTGATATGGTTCTACAAGGTAAGTTTATCATTAATAAACATGTGTTGGTTCTTAACTTTGTTTTTTTTTTTATATTATAGAAACAGTTAGAAAATGGCCTCCACTTTTTGCAATGGACCGAGTGTGCACCAAATCATTCACGATTGAACCGAAAGTGCCAGATGAGCAACCGGTATATTTAGAAAAGGGCACCACCTTCTGGTTGCCCATTTACGCCCTTCATCATGATCCTACGTACTTTCCAGATCCAGACATATTTGACCCAGAACGATTTAATCCAGAAAACAAGCTTAACATCAAGGCTGGCACGTATCTAGCATTTGGATCTGGCCCTAGAAGGTGCATAGGGTATAGATTGGCATTCGTGGAAATCAAGACAATTCTTTTCCATCTTTTATACTATTTTGAAATAGTTAAGACGCAGAAAAGTCAAATACCGATCAAAATCAAGCCTACTTCTCCTAATCTTTGCTCCAGGGATGGGTTTTGGTTCGCTTTTAAGAAAATTCGAAGGTAGCTAATACAAGTTTTTTTCTTAAAACAACTCTGTTTCCTTATACATCTATTTTATTTTCTGTTACTTGGCACCTGTATGTATAGTTTTCTTTCTGCGTCCATCTCTATCTATCTATATAAGGATTTTTACAGCTGTCGCCGTCTTCCTTCTTTCAGCCAACGTCTCTAGTCCTTTCTGTTCTGCCATTCTCCATCTCTTCTTCTTTAAGTGCCCTGTCCGTTGCGAACGTTGGCTATTAACATGGCAATTTTGATCTTGTTTGCGGCGCTTCTGAATAGTTCGACCGAACCACTTCCGCAGATTTTGGAGCCACGAGTGTTTTCTCCTGCCTGGCCCTCGCTTACTGTTTATTTTTCCCTGGACAATCAATTGTAGGAGACGGTACTTGTCGTGTCTCAATATGTGGCCTAGATATTCAAGCTTTCTTTGTTTAATTGTATTGACGATTTCTTTCTCCTTTCCGATTCTTTGGAGTACCTCTATGTTGGTGACATGTTCGGTCCAGGATATACGAAGAATGCATCGGTACACCCACATTTCGAATGCTCGATTGCTAACAATTATGTAATCGATAATGGATCTAATGTTTCTCGTTGTTTGTATATACGTGTATTTATGTATGTCCGTATGTCTGAAAAAGCCGTTAGTAATTTTCAGATTGTTCAGTTCGCACAGGTCAATTAGTCTTTCTCCATTATCGTTTGTCACATCTTCTCCAAAAAGGTCTCGAATACGAATCTTCTCAGATTTTAGTTGAGATAGATTTTTCCAGTTTTTCTTTCAGTATTTTTCCATATAACCTGCCCATACAGGCTATCACACTGATGCCTCTGTAGTTCCCGCATTTCTTATTAGCTCGCTTTTTATGTATCGACGTTATATATGCTTTGGACCATTCATCTGGTATTTCGTTCAGGTTTATAGCGTTAATGAACATTTCATGTATAATTCTGTATAGTTTGTCCGTTCCGTACTTAATTAGTTCATTAACGATTCCTCCTGGTCCCCCTGATTTTTTGTTCTGTATGGCATTCTTTACTTCGATTAATGTTATCTCAATCTGTTCTTCATTCTGATTTTGTTGTTCATGTTCTGTCTCTATGAAATCTGGGCGGTTTTCTGTGAGTAGTTCTTTATAATAGTCTTCCAACTCTTTTTCTGATATGTATTGTATTTGGACCTTTTCGTTGTTATTTTTCCTTAAAGATTTCAGTAACTTCTGGTCCAGTCTTCTCTGGTATAGGTCCCTTATGGATTCCTCTTGAAGTTTCTTCTTCTGTCTGTTAATTTTCTACTTTCTCTTCTTCGTGTTCTTCCTTCCTTCTAGTTTGGGTGTAGGGAAACCCCATTTGTGAAATTATTAATCGATGGTCAATGCCATATTCGGCTCCTCTCTTTACTCGTGTATCTCTAATTTTGATAGTACTACTTTTGCTGACAATTATGTAATCGATAATGGATCTGATGTTTCTCGTTGTTTGTATATACATGTATTTATGTATGCCGTATGTCTGAAAAAGCCGTTAGTAATTTTCAGATTGTTCAGTTCGCACAGGTCAATTAGTCTTTCTCCATTATCGTTTGTCACATCTTCTCCAAAACGGCCTGTCATCCTGAAATGGTTCTTCTATGGTCTATTTTATTTCTTTCAGAGTCTCTCATTGTCCACATTTCGATTCCGTACAGTAAAACTGTTAGTTTCAGTTTGTTAATTTTGTCGAAAGGTTGTTTCTATTTAGTAAAACTCATATTTGGAACATTTTATTAAGGAAGAACAACATATATATAAATTTCTGTACATAATTGTCATTATATACACAAATAAAAAGAATATACATACAAACTCTTTGGTGAGATTATACAATTATAACCAAAAGCTCGTTACCTCTGTTTTTTTGTCAGTGGACAATTATTCCTGATCAATTCCCTTATACAGTCTTATATAATGTTTAAACAAAAAACAGCATTAGACAGTTTTAACAAATAAATAACAAAATGGTAATAACAAAATCAAAAGTTCTCAAATAAACATTCAAGAGGTTATAATTCTAACTTTTCCTACATTTTAATAAAGTGATCAAAGAAATTAAACGAGAAGGCACTGGGTATTAAATGGTTAATACATTTTAAACACAGATGTGCTCTGCAGACCATTTAATACGATCGTGGAAATATCTTAAAACAATACAAACACAAGTATTACACTTGTTAAAGTCTCCTGACATCAAAACTAGTGTTAGAGATTTATTTTAAAGGGTTTGTGTACATTTCAAAAACAGTGTCCAGTGATTAATACATAAAATGAATTTTTACAAAATGTTTATTCTATAATTACCCTAAAACGCATCATTAAGGTCCGAAAAACACAAATTTGGTCATTTTCGTCTCTAAAAATGATGGTTGACTACATAAACAATGACTTTGACGGCTATACTTAAATCCAAACTTCAAAATGCTTCGATTTTGCACCACTGTATGGCACTGCGGTGATTTTTCTATTCTATGAGATAAAATAACGAACTTTTGATTAAAGCTGCATAAAATATTCAACATAAATGATAGAGACAAGAGTAATAAATAACAACATAACACTTTTAACAACAAAAACTAGTTTCTTAAGATTTAGCGGTATGTATTCTTTTTTTCGACAACAGACCACAGAAAAGTAAATAATTAAATCATTGGTGGTGGTACTTACAAACAAATCTAATGTTCAAAACTGTTTTATGAACTCAAATTTCATCAATTTTCAAAAACATTAACCATCCAGAAGTCTAGGCTGATCTGAGACATACATTAAAAACATTTTTATAAATATTTCGAAAGAAGAGTATCGTATAATCCTACGACACTGTCTAGCTTCTCATTTATGTCTTAGGAGTGGGGAAACACACAACGTCGGCTTTCAGGTAATTTCTAGCGGTTGAGATTGAGAAGTAAACGTTTGTCGTAACCGAAGAACAGTTGTATCTGACATATACCGCGACCTCGCAGATCGAATCTATATTTTTTCCTGTTTATTTTGTTGTGTGATCTATATTATATTCAGAATGTCGAAAATATGTTTCTCGGGTCTGACGATGGAAAAGAAAGAAATGAGTTTGAACACGAAAGTGGCGTGGGCGAAATCGATTATGTCGAAGAGCGATCAGAAAACTCGGACAGCGAACAAAATATTTCTACTGAGGTGAGCGAAGAAAACGATAAGAAAACGGGGAGTATTTTTTCGAAAAAGACAAAATAACAAAGTGGGGAAAAAGCCAGTTTACGGAAATAAAATTAGGCGACAGAAACAAAATATTCTGTGTCAATTGCCTCTAGTAAGGAATACTGCAAAAAACGCAAAAACCGAATATGAATTCTGGAACTGTTTCGTGCCAGAAGAAGTTTTAGATTTAATTTTACATTATACAAATAAATATATAGACTTTATTTTAAGTACATATTCCAGAGGGGGTTCAAATGGGGTAGTGATGCGTAAAATATGACGCTGCATCCTGTTAGCGTCACTAGCCTCTCCTACTCAATTATAACTCTCACCTCCACGCGGTGAACACTGGTAACCTAAGCAACTCTGTGGAAGATTCTGGTAACCAACCCCAGTGGGAAGCAGAGTCAGGGCAAACGAGAGTGGGAGAAATGGTCCTTCGAAGATTAGGGGGTTGAGCAGAAGGTTAACGACCTCTTCCCTTAAAAAAACTCATTGTTATGAAAGCACAAAGCTGAAAAGCCGGACTGTTTAATTCACGACGACCCAGCAAACGACAATGGAATAACGATTTACGGATATGCACATGGAATGTACGAACCTTTTAGGCCCCAGGTGCTTAGACTGCTAACACAAGAACTTGACAAAAAGAAAGCCGATGTAGTAGCGATTCAGGAGATGAGATGGACTGGTTCAGGAATTATCGAGAAAAGAGACTACAATATATACTATAGCGGACATAGCACCCGACACGAGTTTGGCAGTGGTTTTCAAATCAGTAAAAAAGCAAAGCAATTAGTCCTTAACTTTAAACCCATAAATAACAGAATATGTTATCTACGTCTTAAAGGAAAATTCTTTAATTATAGCTTAGAAAAAGATGAATTCTCTGACACCTTAGAAAAAGAATATGATCCATGTCCACGTCATGACGTGACAATCATTGCTGGGAACCTTAATGCAAAAATTGGCAAGGAGCAATTTTTCCAGCCAACTATAGGACGTGAGAGCTTACATGAAGAGTCAAATGATAACGGGTTGAGACTAATAAACTTTGCAAGTACTAAAAACATGATATTAGGAGGAACAAGATTTCCCCATAAAATGATACACAAACGAACATGGAAATCCCCTGATAACGAAACCATTAACCAGATAGATCACATGCTGATAGATGCAAGGCAGTCTTCCGATCTCATAGACGTCAGAAGCTACCGAGGCCCAAACAATGACAGTGACCACTTTCTGGTAATGGCAAAAATCAGAGGAAGAATATCTAACCTAAAGAAAGATAAACACACGAAACAAGACGGAATTAATGTTGATAATCTGCGCATTGAAATCGTTGCGAGAGAGTATAGGAGCCTGGAGGTAGGGGAAAATGTAGAGGAATTGTGGACAAAATGTAAAAACATAATAACTGAGAAAGTAACAAACATATTGGGGAAAACCAAACCAGTTAAAGAAAACGAATGGTTTGACAAGGAGTGCCAAGAAGCAACAGATAACAAAAACAGGGCATACCTAAAGACAAATTAAGCTGGATGCACAAGAAGAGCAAAGGAAGAATACCGGACCCTAAGAAGAGAAGAAAAACGGTTACATAGAAGAAAAAAAGACAATTAGAGCAAAAGCAGTTGGAAAGCACAGAATGGCTAAGAAATCAAAATGAAACTCGAAAGTTCTACAGAAATCTAAACAAAATGCGCAAAGAGTTTAAGCCAAGAATAAGGAGCTGTAAGAATGTAGAAGGAAATATCCTAAATGATACGGCCTCAATCCTAAACAGATG